GTAAAACTAGGGATAGTAGGAACATCCCTCAACATTGTAAAGGCTATCTATGCTAAACCCAAGGGCAACATCATTCTAAATGGAGGAAAATTTAAATCATTTCCTCTAAAACCTGGAACAACAAAAGGCTGCCTTCTTTCACCAATTTTATTCAATAATTTCCTTGAAACTCTAGCCAGCGTAATTAGACAGAAGAAAGAAATTAAAGAGATACAAATAGGAAAAGAATAACTCAAACTATCACTATTGGCAGAGGACATGATTCTATATTTAGAAGATCAAAAAAATTCCATTAGAAAACTTCTAGAACTAATAAATGAATTCAGCAAAGTAGCAGGCTATAAAATTAACACCCATAAATCACATGTGTTCCTATACATCAATGATGATTCTACTGAAAGAGAAATTAGAAAAACTACCCCGTTCACAATAGCCTCAAAAAAAAATTGGGGGAATCAAATTTAACAAAAACCCTCTACAATAAAAACTACAGAACACTAAAGAAAGAAATTAAAGAAGACTTTTAAAGATGGAAAGATCTCCAATGCTCCTGGATAGGCAGGATTAACATTCTCAAAATGGCCATACTACCAAAAGCATTATATAGATTTAATGCAATTCCTATTAAAATTCCAATGACATTCTTCATAGAAATAGAAGCAATCATGAAATTCATTTGGAAAAATAAGAGACCCAGAATATTCAAACCAATTTTTAGCAAGAAAATTGAAGCGGGAGGCATCACAATACCAGAACTTAAACTATAGTAAACAGCAATAATAACAAAAAATGGCATGGTATTGGTACCAAAACAGATATGTAGACCAGTGGTACAGAATTGAAGACACAGAGACAAACCCACATAAATAAGTTTTCTCATACTGGACAAAGATCCCCAAAACATCCATTGGAGAAAACATAGCCTCTTTAAGAAATGGTGCTAGGAAAACTGAAAATTCATATGTAGCAAAATGAAATTAAACCCCTCTCTCTCACACTACATAAAAATCAACTCAAAGTGAATCAAGGACTTAGACACTAGAACAGAGAACCTACTCCTAATAGAGAAAAAAGGAGGCCCAAATTTCCACCATGTCTAGCTTAGGAATTGACTTCCTTAATAAGACTTTTTTTTTTTTAAAGAGAGAGATAGATGGGGGGGGGGGAGAGAGAGAGAGAAAGAGAGAATTTTTTAATATTTATTTTTTAGTTATTGGCGGACACAACATCTTTGTTTGTATGTGGTGCTGAGGATCGAACCCGGGCCACATGCACGCCAGGCGAGTGCGCTACCACTTGAGCCACATCCCCAGCCCCTCCTTAATAAGACTTCTAAAGTGCAAGATGAAAAATCAAGAATCAATAAATGGGGGTTGGGGATATAGCTCAGTTGGTAGAGTGCTTGCCTCAAATGCACAAACCACTGGGTTCAATCCCCAGCACTACGAAAAAAAAAAAAAAAAAAGAATCAATGGGATAGAAACAACCAATAATGAGAAGAGAGAGTCTACAGAATGAAAAATATCTTTACCACATACACCTCAGATAGAGGATTAATCCCCAGGATATATAAGGACTGAAAAAAATTAATACCAAAACAACAAATAACACAATCAAGAAATAGGCCAAGTAACTGAACAAACACCTCACAAAAGAAAAATGTAATCAAAATCAACAAATATAAGAAAAAAAATTCAATCTCTAACAATTAAAGAAATGCAAATCAAAACTGCACTGAGATTTTATCTTACTGCAGTCAGAATGGCAACCATAAATATAAGCAAAAATAAATGTTGGTAAGGCTTTGGGGGAAAAAGTACACTCATACATTGCTCTTGGGACTACAAATTGGTGCAACCACTATGTGAAGCAGTACGAAGATTTCCTCAGAAAACTTGGAATTGAACCTCTGTTTGACTCAGTCATTCCATTCCTTGATTTATACCCAAAGGACTAGAAATCAGCATAGTGACACAGCTACACCAATATTTATAGCAGCTCAATTCACAATAGTCAGGTTTTGGAACCAACCTAGGTACCCTTCAAGAGATGAATGGTTTAAGAAAATGTGGTATATAAACATAATGGAATATGACTTGGCCTTAAAGAAGAATGAAATTATGGCATTTGCTAGTAAATGGATAGAAATGGAGAATATTGTGCTGAGTGAAATAAGCCAATTCCAAAGAACCAAAGGCCAAATGTTTTCTCTGATATGTGGACGCTAATTAACACTAAGATAAGAGGGACAAATAGAAGTCCTTTGGTTATACAGAGGAGGGAAAAGAAGGGGAGGAGGTATGGATGTAGGAATGATAGTAGAATATATTGGAAATCATCACCCTATGTGCATATAATGATTACATGTGTAACTACATCATGTACAACCCCAAAATAAGAAGTTATATTCCATTTATGTATGATATGTCAAAATGCATTCTACTGCCATGTATAACTAATTAAAACAAATTTAAAAAATTAAAAATAAAAAAATGCCAATTTCTCAAGAGTATTATCTTTGGTGACACGTTTTTCTCATTCTTTTTAAAAATCAGATAACTTTTTATTTGCTTGAATAATCTGGCTGATTCTGCATTAAGATCAAGGGCTGTGATATTTGGCCATATGACATTTTTTAGAAATCATAATCTTAAAGTGGACTTTATGTATGAATATATATAAATACATAGGTAGTAGCAATTGTCATGAAAGTGCAGAAATACCAGTCCATACACATATGTGGACTACTCTTAAATCTAAAAGTAAATCTATTCTTAAAAGAAGAGACAAATATATCTATTCTTAAAAGAATAATAGTAGGGTCTAGGGTTATAGCTCAGCAGCAGAGTGCTTGCCTCTTACATGTGAGGCACTGGGTTTGATCCTCAGCAACACACACACACACACACACACACACACACACAAAGAATAATAGTAGATGTGAGGTCATCTTTCAATTGGTGAAAGTCTAATTGCTGTTCTCTCTATATACATGCATATAGTCCTATGATTATCTTCCTGAAAAAAATCTCTAAGTGGTGAGTTAAGTTGGTGTAGAAATATATTTGTATCCTTTGTTTATACTCTTATTACCACTTTAAAACAAAATGATATTTTCTATTTAGATGCAACCCTGTTTCCGGGAAATCTACAGGCTATATCTTATACTTGAATTCTTTTCTAGCAGTTTTAATTAATCTTTCATTCCCTAAGAATGTATAATTGCAATTTGTGCTATGTAATTAAGTACTTCATTGGATAGCATTGTATGATATCACTGATTACTTACGTGTGTCAATCTGATCTCTTCCCCCTCACCTATGACAGTGAAAACTTCTTGATGATTCTCAACCATTTATTCATTAATTCATTCAATACAAATTTATTGAGCTCCTAAATGTGTTACATACTCTTTTAGGCACTGGGAATACAGTGGAATACATAGCAAAAATAACAAAAACTTGGATCATCACTGAATTTTAATTTTACTAAGGTGAGTCCACATGATATGTAAGTATTTTAAATACATGGGACATCAATTTCTCAGGTGGGAAAAAGAAATATAACCAAGGAAGGGGGATGGGTGTGCTTTTAGTGGATAATAACAGCTGCATCTTACTTTAAACAGGATGGTCAGGGAAGGCTTGACCCTTTAAGCAAAGGCCTGACAATGTTAGAGGAATGTGCAATGCCAATATCTTTGCAGGAGTGCTCCTGGCAGAATAAAGAGGGACAAGGCCACTGGGATACTATCATGGAGCTCTGTGTAGCATCAGATTCCTCAGGGATATCATATTTCATGTGACTAGGGAATTTTTTTTTTCTGGTGGTCTTTTTAACAAAACAGTTTCTAATTTACCTAGACTATCAAGCCAGTTTTTCCTAACTTCTGTTGATGCTGTCTGAGCTTGGTTATAGTGATATGGAACCATCCTTAACCACATGGAATATATTACATCCTTTTTATATTCATGTCCTTACATTAAAAATATCTTTACACACACCTGCTTATTTAATAATCTATAATCACTTGTTCAATGTCTAAGTCACTTACTAGAACATAAGCTTCCTGAGGGCAGCGACCTGTTTTGTTCATGCCTAGCCCTTGGCACCAAGCATACTGACTGAAATACCCTCAGCACTACTTGCTCAAGTGCACACAAGCACAAAGTTTAACTGGCAAAGTTAACGCTGAACAGGTCATGTTTCATATCTTCATAATGCCTAGATATAACCCCTGTGACTGATCATTGCTTTATTCTCATAAAAAGGAGAGCTGAAATCATTTGGAGATAAATGATAAATTAATAAAGTTGCAGAAGGCTTTCTGAAGACGAAACTTCCCTTCCATGAATACAGTAAATATCATTAACATGAATATCAACATGAGCATCATTATCATCAAAAACACCAGGTATACAAGTTTGGTCAAATATACAACAAATACTATTAAGCCCTGGTTATTTACTGGGAACATCTCTGTTTGTGCTACATCTTGTAAAACAAAAGAGAAAAGTCCCTCCCACCACATGATGAAGTTTACAGTGGGGGTCAGAAGGTGATAGACAATTAGCATAGTAAATGAGTCAATTATACAATATTGTGAGGAGATTAAAGATAGGGGAAAGTGTGGAGCCCAGTAAGAGAAATTGAGAGTATGAATTCATGTAGGGTAGAAAGTAGGCTTTGTTAAGTAGGTAATATTTGAAAACTGTTAGAAATATTCTGAGAATGAAGGGAAGAAGTAATGAAGTGGCAGAAGAATATTCTCAATGAGACATCACATGTCTGAATTCAGAGAGAAAAGGCCTGAGTATTTCAGACACATTGGTAAAACAAGAGAGAGGCTCTCTGTCTTTGCATTATAATTTAAAATTTAATTTTTCAAAAAAATTAACTTATAGTTTTAACAAAATCAAAGAAAAAGTTATTTTATGTCATTTACAACAAAAAAATCACATTTTCAATAAAATCAAGATATTTGTAGATGAGAATCTTACCATTTTTACTGATGTCGAGTTCTTTAAGATTAACTAAACTAGCAATTGAGGTTGGCAGACTTGAAAGGTCATTATCAGGAATACTTAGTTTTCGTAGAGCTTGACAGTTGAACAATTGCTGAAATAGAAAATAATCATTTATTAGATCACAATTTGGTCAAGTCCATCATACATAAACTTAGTAACAAAATTCAAGGCACGATTTTTATCAACGCAGTAGTAAAAAAGCCAGCTATAAAAACTTGACTTTCTCTCATACCCGTGTTCTTGTTTTCACAGTGGTTTCACGTTCTGTGTCCGTGTTCATGCCTCATTATTTTCTGCTATCCAGATGCAAAACCCCAAGTATTCCATTCTTTTCCCTTCTGTTTGCCCTTTACATTCAATTTGCTGCTGAATCCTACTTATTTCTTTTCTTTGGAAATAACTTCTGGCATCTATTTCTATTCCTGCAGCTACGAGGATTACCTCAATTCTCTTTTTGTGCAATCATGTTACATTTCATAAAGCATTACTTCCATTTCATCAGGTTGAACAGTTATTTATATGTCTTTGGTATCCCCCTACACTGCTTCATAAATACCTAGTGAACGAAACATTTAACTTCTGATATTCGGTGAAAAAAATATCACTGGTGGTTAGTTCATTTTTTTGTATCAGACCAAAGTAGTAGGTGGGGAAGAGCCAGGTGCTAAAGAAATGGTTTTCAAATTCAGCATGCTATAATCACTAGTGGATGGAAGTGCTTGTTTAAAATGTGGATTCTCAGGCTCTACTCAAATAGGTACTAATACAGCAGGTCTGGGAAGGAGGTAGAAAAATGTTGGCAATTTTATCAAGTATACTGGTGATCTGAGTATTTTAATGTAGGTATTTCTGGTACTATATTTTTGAAAATAATAAATTCAGTTTTTTAGCTTTGTCCAACTCATCTTGATGACTACAAGATATGAACAGCTGGGACAGAATTTTTATTCATTTCTGGAAGAATTATCTTAAGGAGATCTTTTTTGTTCGACACTTCTGTTTTGCTGCGTTTTCACAGATGACGTCTTTGGTATCCATGACTATACAATTGGCCCACAGTATATTTAACTACCACTTGCTCCTACAAGTAATTCATTATTTATGGGGAAAAATAATGTAGCACATGGTTGCTATTTTTTAACTCATTAGTTTTTAAAAAGTAGATTGTACTTGTTACATAAGATGAAATATGAAGTTTCTTACTTTGGGTTAGTCATTTTTGGCTCTTTACAGAGATTATCTGCAACATTTCATGTAATGTTAGGATTAATTTTCAATATCTTGTAAAGAAAGAAATGTTGTTGATTCTTTTTATAAAATCTCAAAAAGAAAATTTTAATGGGTACTTTGATGGACAGTTTCCACTAAATACTAATTTTCCTTCTAAAGAAACAGGAAAAGAGACGTCTACATACATAGTAAAAGTTAATTCAAATTTATTTACAGTCTTTACCATTTTGTTAGAACTGTTACATCTTCACCTACCTGCAATATGGTTAGTTATATATTCATGCACTTAAAAAATTAATTACCTCATCACTGATTTAGTGAGATGTACTAATCATTCTTTAGTTTGAGTATGCTAACCATTTTAAGCAATGTTTAGTCTTTTCTTTAGTTTAATGCTTTCCAAAACATAGCTTGTTTTTAAAATTGTTCCATTATCACAACTAAATTCTCAAATGCTCTTAAGGATTAGCAGAAGTCCCAGGGATCTTCAATTTTAAATGACGAGTCACATCAGGAACAAAAGATGTGGAAATTCCTGAACATGTTATAACAGAAAGAATCCAAGACCTATTTGGTATAGAAGTTAAAGAGGATCACATCTGGCATCTAATCAGTATGTTTTCAGTCTTTGCTTATCTGTTTATTACCTGGGCAATCCTGTGCAAGTTACATAACATTTCTGAAACCACCATTTTCCTTGCCTATACAATGGGAATAATAAATTACTTAACATGAAGAGTTATTGAGAAGATTAAATGAATTAATATATTTTAATAAATTCTAAGTCCTGCATTTCCCCATCCTAACATCTCTGATATTTGGAATGCTTTTTATGATTAAAAGTAAGTTATTCTTAAGGAGTACCTTTTTCTTTCTTTATATTACTATAAAAATGATGCATCCTATAATCAATAGACTTAGATATGATGAAATGTAAAATGTAATACTGTGGTTGGCCCATAGTAAAACTTGATAATTGTTAGAAATTAATGACATTTATATCCACAGATACAGTGGGACACCTTTATAGTAATCTACTTCTACTTCTTACTTGATAAGGAAGTTTTTGAGGCAGGAGGGTCATGCCTGATTCATCTTGGTATACACCTACTTCCCTTCTGTATACCAAGATGACTAGCCCAGTTTCTTATACAAAGTATGTGCTGAATAAATGTTTTTGAGAGCATGCACAGATAACTGAAGGGAAAATGAGAAAAGTGCTAAATTCTAGCTGACACAGTTTCCTTGGATGGGAAGCTTCAGAAAGGTAAACAATCTCAGCAGAGTCCACGTTTCATAAAGCTTCTTAATATGAGTGAAATTCTTAATATGAGTCATGGTGTCAACAAACTGGTAAAGAAATTAAGATGATAATTTAATGGCTTTTTCAATATTCAAGCTTTGAATGCAAATGAAGAATGATTCTGAAATAGCTGCAATTCTTCAGTATAGTAGAATATAACAAATATAATTAATAGCTAATTGAGCAACTAATGATTATGGTTTTCCTTTGCTAGTGATATCTCACAAAATAAAAGTATTTTGAGTCTTAAAACATTTAAATGTTAACGTGCTCTTTCTCTTTGACTAAAGGAAACAATTTAATCGAAGAAATTAGTTTGAGAAGCTATCAGTTTAAATTGCTGATTCTGAGTTAGACATTTAGACCTGAGGCACAAACAGATTTGTGTGTGTGTGTGTGTGTGTGTGTGTGTGTGTTTATGTGTGTGATAACCAAGACAAAAGAGAAAATCCCCAAACTTGAAAATAAAAATATTGGGGGCTAAAAATGTATATTCTAAAAGGTATTATTTCATTCATTAATTCACTCATTTATTTATTCATTCATTGATTCATAAAAAAAACATTTAGAAATTAGGCAAAGTGCAAGGAACAAAAGTAATTAAGACTAAGCAGCTGAGCCCAGGTTCTTTCTGCTTTCACATTTAGACATAAATCTAAATACACTGTGAAAAACTACATTGGAGTAAATGGAATCACACAGGTAGGATATCAGCACAATTTGTGTAATGATGGTGCTTGAGCTGACTTTCGGAAGTATTCCCCGAAAAGCAATAAAAAACAGAGATCTCCCAAGTCAATATTAAGTTAGCCAGGTGAAGGATAAAGAGGAGACAATTTTACACTTGGTGTATCTGAAGACAATCCCAATTCAAAGAATATGTAACACAAACTTGTTTCAGATATTTACTAAATAGCATGAGGAGACTTAGATCTTGGGATGAATGCGCGCTAGCCTACAACATCTACATGCATTTAAAATATATTTACTGAATATCTGTTATATATCAGTATGCCTCCTCATGCCATATAGAAACAAACATAAATCTCCTCTGAAGGTATGAATTTTCAATTTAAGCCTTTATTTCCCAAAGTTCCAATAAACATAGGATCATTAAAAAATTGTTAAATGTATAATGAAATAATTGCATTGAGTGAGATGTTACAGGAAAACAAAGAATCAGGCCTATAAACAAAACAGATATTAAAATTACAGAGCATAAAATGAAAAATTCAGTGTTCTATAGCACAATAGGTAATTATAGTCAATTAGTGACATATTTCAAAATAAGTAGAAAAGAAGAATTCAAAGCTTCCCAACACATAAAAATGATAAATGTTAAAGGAGATGAAAATGCTAATTACCCTGATTTGATCATTATATATTCTAATTGAATAATCTTACAATACCCCATACATATGTACAAATATTATGTGTCAACTAAAAAAAATAAATTTAGAAAAATTTTAAAAACTTAGAGCTGATTTTTCAACACCAATTAAAGCAGAAATTCATTAGATGCTATCCCTAAATTACCGAGAGTAAAGAATCTTATATTTACAGGTATCTTTTTTTTTAATAAAAAGAGCAAAAATCAACATTTCAGAAAGACAAACTGAGTTTACCACCATGCGACTTGTACTACAGCTGTCAAAAGATGCCTTTTATTGAGAAGGAAATGATCCCAAATGAGAGGTCTGACAGAAGAAATGTCAATAAAATTTAAAAACACGAAAAAAGGAAAATGTGTGGTTAAATCTAAACAAATGCTAGCTATATAAGACAACAATAAAATAGCTAATTATTGGATTAAAAAAATCAATGTAGAACTAAAATTCTGAAAAACAAATGTACATTTATCAGGAGAAAGATAATTAGATTAAAAACATTTCTCTGATTTTTCCCATTTTGGGAGAGGAGGGTATGTATTCACTCAAATATGTGAGTCAAGTTAAAGAAGTGTGTTTAAGCCTGCACAGTAGTGCATGCCTGTAATCCCAAAGGCTCTGAAAGTGAGCAGGAGGATTGAGAGTTCAAAGCTCGCTTCAGCATTAAGCAACTCAGTGAGATCCTATCTTTAAATAAAATACTAAAAATAGAGCTGGGGACATGGCTCTTGGCCAAGTGCCCCTGAGTTCAATCCCTAGTACCAAAACAAAACAAAACAACAACAACAACAACAAAAAAAGAGTATTTTAAAATTTGTAGAATGACAACTAAAAAAATAGAAATAAAGTTATGATTTCCTTATTAGAAGAGATAAGGAGAAAAAATGATCTTTAATAAATATAATAGAAAAATATAAGACTTAGAATGAGATGGATAAAAATGAAAAATAATAGTGAGATAAATTAATACAAATATATCAATAATTGCCATCAATAAGTATGGGTTAATCTCTCCAGTTAATTAATAGGATTTCAGCAAAGTGGATTAAAACTAAAAATAATCAAGCTATATGCTATTTTCAGTGGTACATTAAAACTTAATGAGATTATTCTAATAGACTCATATAGAACAGTGACTAAGCTGCTATAGAATACTTTTTTAAAAATGGA